GAAGCCTGTAAGGGTAAACTCAGGGACTGCCTTTATCCCCAGAGAAAATTAAACCATTTAAACATGTGATTGACTAGAATTCTTTATTTTACTTTACAGTAAGTGAATTCCCCGATCTTTAACTCATGTCAGACCATACCCTTCTTTTTCTAATTGTCAATTATCTTCGATTAGCTGCTCCTCTGAGAAAACCTTTGCTCAGGCCAACATATCTGAAATGCTCCCCCCCCCCTATCTGTGGTATTTGCTGAGAGCAGATAAGCAACAAGGCTAAATATTATGTGTAAAGTCAGTGAGTTGTTGGTGACATAATAAGGATAATCAGAAAAAAAACGGTGACTTATTCAACCTAGAAGTAATGATAATGCTCCTGAGGCCAAGTGCTTTTAGTTAAAATAGCACAGTGGCCTTGATTCTGCATACGCATACCAAGTAGATTAGGACTATGAGAAAGAAAGAAACTCGACACTAAGGCAATATGTTTAGTTATGTGTTATATAGGCAATTGTCAGTGTAATGATTCTCAGTTATATGAGAATATGGTGTTCTGTGTACAGTAAGTGGCCTTACAGCAGATGTTCAGCTTAGCTTACAGTCCATGTCCTGATTATGAAATGTGACCATACAGCCACAGCATGTGCTCTTTTCTCCTCTAAAATCCTCCTCTATGGCCTCTGTACACCACAACATATGGACAATGAAATATTCATGGGCTGTTGGTTAACACAAATCTGCAAAGGAGATGAGAAAACATGGGCTTAGCAAGCAATTTGCCTATTACATTAACAGAAGGGGCTGTCGAGGGACAATATTGACATATGCATATTTTACCTAATCAGATTTCATGTTTCAAGAGCAACAAGAAAGTGTTTCAAGTTGTGGAAACAATGACATCATGCTGTATGTTCATCTGGTGACCCAACCCAATCAAGCCGGAAAGATATTATCTCAACCGAGAGGCTTAAAATTCTAATGTTTCCCACTCTTTAGAACATTTCTTTTTCCTGATGTCGGCCTCACTGGTTCATGTGAGTATCTGTTTCAGTGAGACGCCTCAAGTTAACTTATACGAAAAACAGCAGACTGACATGCCCAGAAAGTCCCCCACATGCACTTAAAACACAAACTAATTCAACTACAGATGCACAAATGTGGCCCGCACGCATGACAGTACAAAAATAGACTGCTGTTCATAACCAGTGCATCTGGACAACATTAATATACTGAAGCAGTAAATTGTTTTCATACTCCTCCCACTCAAGAGGATTACAAAAAAGGATTCCATAGGATTGCGCAGAAAATGTTTCGTTTAACAAAAAAAGCAAAAAGGAAAATCAAACCAACACTAAGTGGGAGATATTTCAAACTAAACACAGCGAGCTGAGTATGAACTATATAGTTTCTGTGCCAAGAAATGAGACCTGGGGAATATAGGACAAATGAGCGAGAGGAGGAGGAGGGTAACTTTGCCTAGAACACGATTGCCTCACTAACTTTGAAAATACTGTTGTTTTAAGCTATGTGCACAAGGAGTGTTAGGTTTCTGACGGGGTGGAGGACGAGGGGGGGGGAGAATGTCTGGGAGGAGAACTTCAGAGAGAATCAGAGAAAATGGGAAGAAAAAAAAGTCGCTCATAACATTTTTCTTAAGGAACCACCATCTTGCTGAAATAGATCATGATCATAAACCACTGACTGGTTACGCTCATGCATGTTTATGGCGTTTATGGTACGGTTTATAGGGGCAAACCCTGCGCAATATCTCTGCATAGTATAACATAACATTTTAGTAATCTGTCCGTCAGCTTCTCAAAGGTTTGGCTCACTCAAGCTATTTCAGGCTTTTCATCACTGCAGAAAAGCCTCGGTAATGCCAATATTATTACAGTGCAGTATGTCACACCTTTGTTATTCTTAGGTTCATATAACAGATTGATTTCACTCTGTATGTCAGTGAGAACGCAATAAGTAAAAAAAAACAATTGTACCAGTGTGGTCGAAATGACAATTTCCACTGCCTGGTGGACGATTGTGCAGCAGTAATATTACATTCCTCCTGGCAAGAGATGAAATTGAGGACACAAAGTAGCATGGGTATAATCAATCCACCCTGGCATGATAGAGAGAATGCGTGATAATTATAAACAAAAACTGTGTCATTCCCCGAGAGGAGAGCAGCTGCTGGTGTGACAGGCGATGCTGAACATGAATATGGATCACAGGACAGAGATCTGGTAGCCCATGCAACCACAGTCTTACCGGAGATGGTTTTAACCAGGGGACAGCAGCGGTGACGCAGGTTTGAAAACTGATTCGGTTCAATTAGGCCTAACCTCAGTTGGCTAATATAGCTCGTCCTCATCATGCAGTCAGAGCAAACACTTATGAAATGAAAGACATATCAAACAGAGAAGCCAGAGGATGTGGGTGTTTCATTACTCATCTCCTACAACGCAGATAAAATACAATGAGACATGCACAAATAAAACAGCATGGGCTGCTTATAAAATAATGAAACTAAAGCTGCTTGTGCTGCTCAAGTAACTAAAGGACTGTGTCACAAACCGGCTGAATTTCCCCAACTGAAAATTATTTGTTTGCTATATTTTACAAAATAATGACACTCAGCATCTGCATTGTTTTTTTTTCTTTTTCTTTTTTAAGCTGGAGCTTTCTCTTCTTTTTGACCCCCTGAGGTAGTTTGACACACTTTCATGAATTAGCTAAGACAAGATGGACGACTGTTACAGCTGACACAGTATATCTGACTGAGTCAAAAAGGTCAGAATTAGCATTGAGCGAAGAGCAAAGCAGAGTCCTCAAATTGTTTCTGGGGTCAGTTTTGAACTTTTTAACATTTCCCATCAGGGCAGTGATGCTTTTTGCATGTCCACAGAGCGGATAGTTATCCTAATACGGCTGAATTTAATGTCTGTATATGGCTATTTTTGTATTGGGCTTGTAAATAGAAGGAGAACTGTTCTCAGCAGCAGTGCATGTTTCTCGGTGCATATGTGTAAACATTCATGTGTGTGTTTATGGCTGTAAGTAGGATGCCCTTGAGGCTGTATTCACCTGCCAGAGCGATGGAAATGACTTAGCTCTGCTGTTTTGAAGCAAATCGCAATCAGGTCTACAAGCAGCAGTTCAAGCAGAAATGAAATTTAGCTTTCAGCTGAGAAAACCTTCATGTGAACAACATTAAAAAACAATCCAGCTGCGCAAGTTTGGGGGGAAAAAAAACAAACAAACAGAAAAAAGAAATTCCTTCAGCTAAGAAAACAAACCTTTAGCTTAAATGTGGCTCACGGAGGAATGGCATCATTGAGCCAGCGCATGAGCAACAGCGGTCACAGGATGTTAGGGTTACTATTCATAACTTATTTTCCTATGCCCAAAACCGTTTTCCCCTCTGGTCTCACCTCTGCCGCTCTCTTAAAATGCTATTACCTTCTGGCAAATTTACAGGAAAAGCAAAACAATGACTTTTGACCAGATGAGCTGTTACTGGGAATGTCATACTTTCCTGCTGAGTAACTAAGTGGAGGAAGTATACAGAGATGAATCAAAGATGAATTCCTCCTTTGTTTTAAAACCAGCTCAGGCTTAATAAAAAAGTTGTGACTGATGAGGATGTTTGAACAAAAGTCACTCATATTCATAAGCACACAGTCTACATTTGAGAGTTGCACAAGTCAAAGAAATACAATCATAAACTTTATTGTAATATCTTGTAAAAACTATCTTGCATAGTGGCATTAATGGCATTGGAATCTTCTTTTAGCCTTAATTATCATAAAACTTGAAGATCAAAAGCATGCTCAATTTAGATGGCCTTAATTCATCTGGCAAACACGACAAACAGAATTCATAAACAAGAAAGTGCCATCTGATGTGAGAGCTAAGCACAGATATATGATCTCCACTTAACTACAAATTGCATCTATGTAGAACGTGGAAATAACTTCTTTCTATCTCTCTATCGCTCTGGAATGTAACTTCAGTTACTCAAGCGCAACCTGAGCACAAACATGAGGTGCATGTGTTTTTCCTTTTCACTTCAGTGGCACTTGTGAGATACAACAACCTTTCCATGAAATATTCCTACTTGTCACACCATGCATGCAAAAAGTTCTGAAAACCGTTCTTATTAAATTAGTCATTAGCTAGAAAATAATTTACAGCAACTTCACAAATCACTAAAGTCATAAATAATAAAAAGGAATATATATTATTCCAGCCTTTGTACCTATTAATATATTATTAGTTAAACTAAGCCAAGGACAGGGTGTCATTGAGTCTTTATAACATTTCTCACAGTTTCTATCAACCAAATATTTCAGAAAATATTTCAGCAGATTATTCCTTCAGTTGTTAGCATCGGTTGCATTCCCCAGACAAAAATGCAGGATCTGTTCCAGCCTAAGCAAAATCCTGCTTTCACTACAGCACAAGTCATCATAATGTGAAGGCCTATCTAAACAGATCTGTTCAAGTGGAGACTTCCTTTTTTACTTTGAACACTTTAAGGTCATTGCCCTGATGCTATTATAAAAAATTCCTCTTTTCACTGCAATAAGTTAAATAAAGAATCTTAATACTTTCCCAGCTATTAACATAACTTTACAAAGTTTTTTTAAGACTAACTTACATAAAAGCAACTAAAAAATCTATGATGTCATCTTAACACCTTCGCATGTGTATTTGTCATTGGCAGGGTATCATTTACAAAAAAAAAGAAAGAAAATTAAATGCCCTAAAGAACAGTTTCTGGAGATCCAGAAACACCAATTTTACATTTAGAGAAGAATCAAACAAATAGTCAGCTCAACCACAATAGACTTCATTGGAATTTTGAAGACCAAGTGACTTTTACGTGCATGCTAAAGTTTCTCAATCAGAACACAACAATCTGGATGTCTCGCAGTCCTCAGAACACCACAAACTGCTTCTGTAATATCTGTTGCTGTTTCCCATGAACTTGCAGCCTGTGCACTCACCGAACTCGTCGCAGATGCTCTCATTCTGCAGCAGGGTGGGGTGCTCGAAGGTGTCCCGGCAGTACAGGATCCTCGTGCTGCCGCCCAACGCCGCGATGCCGCCCAGCGCCAGCACCGTGTGGTCAATGAGCAGAGTGGACGGCTGCTCCCTGAGCCGCGCCAGCACCGAGCGGTAGCGGCAGTACTGGGGGTAACTGAGGACCAAAACTTTCCGTCCATCCTCTTCTTGGCCTGAAAAAAAAAAAAAAAAAAAAAAGACAGGTGATCAGAAGGGTCTAAAAAAAAAGTTGTACAAAGTTCAATTTATTGAAGGAGAAAAAAAGCACTGTGGGGAAATAGGAAACAGGTTTTTCAAGTGCTCCTGTAAGATTTGTGGAGAAGGGGCTTTACAGGACATGTTTATTCTTCCATTTCTCCTCAGGTTTTATGGCTTTATTCGTTCTCATAGATCTTTTTGTAGCTACTGTTATATTTCAGCACAGCTGCCACTGCACTGTCAATACGATCCTTAAATTCTTATGACAGTAATGTCTGTGATGTTGGTCTCTAAGTTGGAGCGGGCAAAATGGTATGCAGGAAAAGTATCATTATGAGCCAAAACATCTCCGTTCTCATTTTGGCTTTCGTCAAGCATGCACTCGTCTATTTTATTACTTTACATTTCTAACCAATACTTTTGAGGAAATGCATCACACTGAGGAAGTGGCCATGCTGTAACATTGCTGTGCCATAGTAACTTTAAATAGCTTTAACAGAGGTTTCACATCCTCTCCATGTAAGTAACAATGCACTCCAGCCAACCAGCACATCTCAGCACGCCTGCCGTAAAAAATGCACTGCAGAATGTTGTTAGGCTGCATTGTTCACATTTACCTTGGCAATTGTTTAGGGGACAAGAAGAATGTCAGAACAGTTTCGGATGCATATTATTTTGACGGACTAATGTTCTAAAATCCTCAGAGCAATTTAGACAAGATAGGTGGGAAATGAGTCTGTAAAAGCATGCACAACCATTTGCTTACAGACCAAACACACAAAAAAGGAGAATTTAAAAGCACACTACAGCTTTATCTTGGTTTAAAATCCCTCCCTGTTTTACTTGAGTTGGAGAGAGAGCCTTTCCATTAAAGCCAGACTTCAGCTCCACATTGTTTGCTCTGCCTCTGTTATTAATATTTCACGGACAGTGTGTTTGTGTTTGACAAATGCATTATCATGTGCAACAACTTGCTGGCAAAGAAATGTCTTCCGTTTTTTTTTTTAACAACCTTAGGACAGGAAGTGCAGACTGAACAACATTATTAGCTGCCATAAAAGCCAAGAGGATATGCTGATATACAAACTGTTAATGTTACACCGATGCCACATAAGAGCCACAGAGGTCCTGACTGCTAAGATGGCCATGACTGTGCACAGATGACAGAGCAGTGCGCATGCTAACCTGCTACAAATGTCCTAAAAAGGACTAAATGCAAAGAATTGCTGAGGCTGATGGGAATGTTGAGTTTCCAGGTATTTTTGGCCATAAAACAGCACATGGATGAAGGGGTCACCACGGTTTTTGGAATTCATCCTGAGGGAGGCATAATTGTGTGTATGAAATTTGCTGGCAGTTCATCAAATAGTTGTTTAGATTTTTCGGTCTGGGCCAAAGTGGTGGTCCGCCTGACAGGCAGCCATGCCTGCCTAATAAAAATACCATGAAGGCTCTGTTGAACACTTACAACTGAAAGGTTATTATTATATAGTAAAACAAAACAAGGGCGGGATGAAGGCATACAAATGCAACACTGAGTATCAGAGGGGTAACAAAAGCTGCTGCAAGAAAATAAAGCCTCTGCAATCAACCAATATTTATGTATGAACAGCTCTGGTGTTTGCGTTTTATGAGTAATATACATTTATGACATTTTCCCTGCAATTCTCAGAAAAGAAATAATCAAACCATTATCTTTGTTGATATTTGAAAGGAAAAAAGAAGTAGACTATTGAGGTTACAGGTTATTGGTGGTGAATGAAAAAACTATCCTTATTTTGATTAAAAGAACACATTGACTGCCACCTGCATAGAGAAAATATTCTTACTTGTAGCTGAATATGTGCGTGTTAACGGTTAAGTAATAATCAGCCAGTCTGAAGGGGAATATGTGCTGACACCTCTAATAGGTTTGATCTGCAGATGAACATTACTGATGCAGAGCAAGTCTACATCTTACCAACAGATCAATGATCAAGAAAATGATATGTGTATTTAAAGAGGCGCTGATATTCTAACAAGACACAAGATGTACGCCATGCACCACACGGCACACAATTAAATACACACAGAAAACAGGACTATCTTCATCTTCACCCACCAAATTATTCATTGGTCAATGTTATCCAGGGTAATGCATAAAATATGTGCGTATGAAGGCCGATAAGGTTAAAAAAGATGCTAGCAAAGGAATGTTTGATTGTATTTAGGCCAAAGTACCAGCAAAGAAAGAAAGATAGATAGATAGATAGATAGATAGATAGATAGATAGATAGATAGATAGATAGATAGATAGATAGATAGATAGATAGATAGATTCCAGCCAAAGTCATAGTTTTTAAGATTTGCTCATTTCTTATTGAAAGACAGTGGTAATATCTTGCATACAAACGCTGTACATGGTTCAGCTGATGAAGCACAGCCAGGCAATTTGAAACACAGCTTCATATGAATTATTCACCCTCCTGTCTGCTTTTACAAAGCTCTTGGACATGACATTGGTAAGTTAATATTTCAAGGCTGGCTAACTAGCAGGCTCTTTTGCTTTGCTTTTCCAAAGACGAGAAGTTTTAACATATTTTAAAAAGCTTCGTCTTCATTCTTTTCCTTCTCTGTGTTATTTTGAGGGGCTGGAGGCTTATAAAATCACTAAAAATGTGCAGCAGGAGAGGGACAGTAGAGACTCCATTCACAGCATATTTACAGCAGCTGCATTCCCAACAATTAGTGTAATTAGTTCCACTGTACTCCAATATGAAGACCACTTCAAAGGAATGATTAAAACCATTCAACCAGCTCACAAATACACACATGCACGCAGCAGACTCTACTTTCCAGAAAGGTGCCACAAAGCCCACAGATGCATAACCACAATTATTTCACACAGCAGACGCACGTTTACACAAGACTGCGGCATTTGTCGTGTGCAATTAGAACTCAGAGGTATGGAGCCGGCTTTGTTTCCAAATGTCACAGATTTTATTGTAAGCGGTCACCGTCAGACCTGCTCTTTCTCCCGAGGACACTCACAGCATTTCACTTGATTAGATTCAATTTGGTGAGTGCTGCGGGGCATTAATAACTGTACTAAGGCGTTGTAAAGTATGCATGTCAGCGTACATGAGTGCGCTGGTGTGTGTAATGTACACTGAGTGTATGTACACTTTAAAAAATTCCTTTTGTTCTTACACCCCAACCTTTCAAAATGAAGGACGTCCTTATCTCACTGTACGCTTTCTAATTGGTCGGGGCTGTGGCTCGCTGACTGTAGGGAGCTGCAAGACACTCTGAGAACATAATAAAAATCTGTTTCTTCCTCTCCGGACCTCTTTTTCTATTTTCCCTGCATGTCTGAGTGCTCTGTTTTAGTGGTAGCGTAACGTGTAAATCAAGCAACTGTGTTGCTGCAGATTATTTTCAGAACACGCTGTAAAGATCCTGACCTCATAAAACACAATAGTGTCAGGGTCATAACAGTTCTGCGGGACAGCTCATGTTAGAGCCGCTCAGTCACTGCAGCACTCAAATTGTAATGCTCTAAAATATGCAGTGTACTGAGAGGGAATACAAACCATTAAACAGGTTATAATGTACTGTGCAAACTCCATTCAGATGTGTTTCTTTTAAAGAATCCGGTTTCATTTTACACACCTGCATAGCTTAACCCAAGGAATAAAACCAATGATGTCATAGCGTATCAGAGATATCTCTTGGGATTGAGGTCTTGCTAACATGAAGCCTGTATTCTCTAGCATGGGTTTAATATCCTGGTAGGTATGTTCCGCTTCACGTTTGGCCATTTATCCAACGGATAACTATTTGAAATGCAGGTGACTTAATTTAAAATCCCCCTATATGCAGACTTTCTTCTGCCAGCTCTCTGTCCGTTTCCATCCTTTAGTTACCAGCTATCATTAGGGCTTTAAAACGAATCACCTGATTGTGATTATTCAGCTGACTGCACTTAATCTCCATAATTGTCCGAATCTTAAAACAGCTGGAGGAAATTTAAAGAAATGTGATATTTCTGCCACGATTACCAGCTGCTTTTCGAATGATGTGATCTAGTTATGGCCATTCCTCTGCTACGGTTATCCAAACATGTAGAAAGCAGCTATTTATCTCGATTTGTGTAACTTCTACATTCAGCCAAATGCATTTCAAAAAGCATCTTTGATGCTAAAATATTACTGTCTTTGTTTGCTGATGCCTTTTCTCTGTAGGGTATTTTTATCTGGATTATCTGTACTTTTTTTGTCTGTGTTTTTATTTTTTCAACATTAAGCTTTGTGTACATATATTGTTATTCCTATCTTATTCAATCTGTGCAATTTCTGATTACAAAGCTCCCGGTCAATAAAAAATAAATAAATACCAGGTCATTGCAATAATCGCTGCCATCTAATGGCTTCTCTTCCCACAGAAGCACTAGAAAGGATTACTGCTTCCTACGGCTGCGTAACAAAATGAGCAGAAAAAGACATCTGAATGGTGAATGCATCTTTTTGTTTTTCTAAGTTAGTGGCACTAACACATTCTCCGAGCTCTGTGATCTTGGTCTTGGTAATTCTAAAAGGGACGAATTCAAGGGAATTATCTGTAATTATGGAATGATTGCTCTGTATTAAAGTTGATTTATGTACTTTCTGTAAAAGTCTAAAAAACAGGGAAGAAATACCCCTCCTCAGGAAAATCAAGCAATTGCAAGCAAACTCATTATTTTATTAGAGGTTAATAACAGTGGCTGCACCAGTAGCATGGACATCTTTTCCATGTTATCCTAACGAAATAAAAAAGTATGTTGTCACTGGTTCAAAATCAAAGAGCCATTGTTACTTCTTTCACGGTTACTGTGACAAGTGATCGGTTGAATTTTCTCACATTTCATAGAACTTTCATTTACTTCCATCTTTGCAGTCCTACAATTGCTCTATCTTGCTGAGATCTTGTTACTGAATCTGTTTCTTTTTAAACTCTCGCTGTACATTGTGTTATATACAATGAATCTTTGATGATGAAAAATGTCCACTGAAGCCAATGGTGTCTTATGGGTGGGGTGATATAGAGTGATATAGAGTGGGTGAGGGCTTTAGAGTTGGAGGTGTAAAATAGTACCATTCCTGCTGTCAGAGGAGTGCAGGCTTATGTATTATGGTTTCATGTGTAAAGCCAAGTATGAATAGTCGCCGCAGGTAATGGGGATCCTCTTTAAAAGGCTTGACTCCTCGCCTTGCATATAACAGTAACAATAGAACCATCTGTACAAACACACACATGCATGCATACCACCACATATCACATACATACATTAAATGGGTTTTTATCTATCCGTTTCTGAATTAGGTCAAACCTCTTAAATGACCCTGATCAACTTTATTGCTGCAGCTTAGCAGTAGAATCACGATCAGTAGCTGGAGACACTCACCATAAATTACAATAGTGTCTAATGACTAAATTGAGACATTAAAGCAATTCCAAAATCAATCTGTCCTGATGCTGTTCAGCCAAATAGGGAGAGAAGTTCGCCTCTAGTCTTATCAGTCTCAAATCAGATCTTTGATCAAGCCGTGGGTATTTAAAAGTTGATGGTTTGTCACATGTATAAGGAATGTGATTGAGGCCCAGCTGATTCATGATGTGTCTTGAGATGAGAAGATTGGGATGACTTTATTAACGTCCTGCGGATTAAAGGAACCAAACTACCTTAGTCACGTTAGTCTGGATCAGAAGTTACTGCGCTCTGTGAGGACCAGTGGTTAAAATGTACGCTTCAGTTTGCGAGTTAATGAATCTCAGGCGTGTAACAGTTATATAAAGTGATCAGTACATAAAACTCTCATCTTGTAGTTTGAATATTTAAAAGGGATACACCAGCCGGCAACTAAAAAGTCAGAGAATGTATCATTTTTTTATTCCTGTATTTAATAAAAGATATGTTTGTGTGTACGTTATGGTTGTGTTTATGAAGAAGCACAATACACACTGGTGCTGTAACCTATAGTAACAAAAACAGTGGATTGAATGTAAACAGCATGAGTTGTTGTACACAGCGTACACAGTGAATCAACTGCACAGCAAATGAGTGACTCATTTGGACAAAGTGATACAACAGAAGCGTCACATAATTATTTCCAATAGTGTGAATAAATTAATACACTGATAAATATTCATGAACATTGTGAAAACTTGTAATGTACAAAATCTTGAACGTTTTTTTTCTTCTTTTTTTCAAGGGCTGAAAATACTGGATTTATAGAATGGGTTTTTAAGTTTTGAAGAAAAAATAAATACATTTTTTCTTCAAATGAAGCCGCAGGTCGGACTGGGTGAAAAGGACATGCTGCCTGATCTGACTGCGCTGATTCCCAAGCCTCCAGGCAGACTTTGTTCTCTATTCAGTGTGAAAAACCACTTGCAGGGACTTTAGAATTGCTAATAGTGTATTTGGAAATCCATCACAGAGACCAAATTCAAAACAAATGCAGGATCTAAAAGGAAACATGATGAAATTCACATTGTTCTTTAAGAAACATCTGGGTCTACATACCATGTGTCTTCCAAAATTTGATTTCCTATAAAAACTGCTCTTCACTGGAATGACTTGCAGCTCACTGTTCTGTCTTAGATGTCCACACATTTAATTTGACTAAAACACATCATTCCATTACATGGAACACAAACCACTTCCAGCTGTTTGTTGAAAATATACACATCAAAGAGGCTACTTAATACCTTTTTGGTTGTTCCACATTTCTTGTGTATTCATAAGTATTTTTTTCCAGAGCAAAGTTAAGAAGTCCACACGCAAACAAGTGATTATTCATTTTTAAAAAGAGACTCTCCCTCTGACTGCACAAATGTTTTTAAAACCCTGTAGTTCAAACCTTTCCCTCTCCCCTTCACTTGTCTTCATCAAAAACATTTGTACAACATTTGCTTGGTGGATAGTTTGGGACACCTAAAAGAAAGAACAAACAATGGACTCATACACTATGTTTGACCTATTAGCTGAAATATATTAATATATAATATATTAAATATTATATATAATAATATATCTGAAAAATACATATAATATAAAAGTATTCAACCAGAATATGTAAATAACTACAATTAGTTCTATAAAATCCCTCTGTGAAACAGCAGATTAACAGAAAATGACCGATAATAACGACTAACTGAAAATCGCAAAATATCTGTTTGTGTAACAACACAGTCCTGTACAGACATGCTAAAGTGGAAACACTGAAGTCCTTTATCACCCTGTAAACGACACTACATCAGTCCACTGCAGACTGGTAAAGTCATTAGCCACAGTAGCTGCCATGAGACGCTCTAAAAATAAGGATCTCAATGTACTCCAGCATAGTAAAAACAACACACTGTAACGCATGCGTCCAGTGCCGGATCGTAAATATGACAAAATTATATTTAACCGCACAGACTGAATCTTATAGTTTTCTTTTTTTTTCGAGCCAGCTTTTGCTTTGCTGATGCAAAAACATAAGAGAGGAGGCTGTATAGCTACACTGCAGACTGTATGAGAGAAACAGTGGTGGAAATAATGAGAGCAAGCTCTGATGTTATATGACACCATGAGCAAAATATTTGATGTAATTACATTGAAGGAAGAATTTCTCTTTCATAACAAGCATGACAAATTACTCATCGTGATCAAAATCTCAGAAAAGCTGCATGCAACATGAAACTCATTAGTTGAGATTGAAGCTGCCGCTCGGCTGGATGAACGGCTATTGCAATATTAGATGAAACATCACAGATATCATTGATTTCCAGATCAAAAAAATAAAGATCGTCATCTAACGCTACATCTCTGAGATCTTCTGCCTCTGTGACAGCTTTGAAAGTTGGAATTGAAATGAGTTGCTTTGTGAGGTTCTTTCACGTCCCAAAGAGGATTCGTGCAGCCAATTAAAAATCCAAAATCATTAATGTAAACTGTGTCATTTAGAATCAAGCGTGCTTAAAAATATTCACACTGCCCACAAGCCCTGACAAGATCTCCCAGGCAAGTGTGCTCATTTCTCTTGTCACCGACGAGCAGAAAGAGAGCTGAAAACCATTACTCTCATGCTCTCTGTCACCCGCTGTAGTCTTTAAATCACTCACTCGGCTAAAATTCGCTGTTGTCAACATTTCCACATTATCTGCTTAGCCAAAGAATTTACTGGATCCCCCTGCTGCTTTAGTGAAGTTGGTGAGAAACAGCAGGGCAGAACCAACAATGTTCCTTTCATATTTGATGTCCGCCACCACTTCTTAAAAAAGAAATTGCATTCTGAACTTCAGTGTTAGCATAACACAGTTAAACGCCTATAATATTAAGTAAAAGTATTACAAAGGTGGAAAAAAAGAGGAAGACAGACTGTGAGGAAGAGGTTCTTGATTGGTATTCTCACTTCATGCTGCATGCTCTCTGTGCTCTCTATGCTCTGTATTGATCTCTCCGGTTACCCTGTTTCCATTTAGCCTCTTCTCATAATATATAACACATCTCTGATTCATCCTCCTCATCCCTCTGCCTCACTTCTCAATGACACTGAGAGGGGGTCATATAAGCAGCAGGCACTGAATCCGGCTATTGGTTTCATGTTATTGAAACCTGACCAAACAAAGAGGACACAGCATCTGCAAATGACAGGGACTAAAAATAAAATGCACAAGAAACAAAGAGCAAATTACGCAAAGCAATTAAACAAATTTATTGAATTTGCATGAGTCATTGCTTATCCAGTCTGAGAATGACTACACTGTCTTGGATGAAACAAAATGTGCTAGAACATTTCACTAATTACAACCTAGTGAGTGCGGTAAACAAAATCGCATTAATTACGGCTGTGGTGCAGCATCAATAAATCACCACAGTGGAGTGAAACAAAGGAAAGGGATCGCACACTCACAAACAAATTCAGTTTGCTCTATTCAAAGGGAGTAAAAATGGAATTATACTTCAAATTTGTTTAATAGATCTGCACAGGATAACAGACTGTGTTTGCAAATGACTCAGAGGCCGTCCGTCATCCACCGCACATCAGTCACACACTCTGACTCGCCTCTCCTCTGCTCATTATCTCAGATGCAAGCTGTGCTCTCACACACAAACATCCAAAACGTCCACAACATAGGCGATGAAAAAAAATCAAATACGCAAACAAATAACAACTGATATTTTTCAGGCCGCTGGCAAAGATGTGTACAAGTCACCCTCAAAGCTTACAGGAGGATGTTAAACTCCAGAAAATGTAGAGAAACTCTTCTGTTAAAGCATGGCTGACTGATATATTACATAACACGAGGAAATAACAGGCAGGGATCAAAATCAATTTCAGTTCTTTTCCTCAGTTCATATTCGACTTCCTTTGTCTGTCATCGGTAAACACATCGTGTTCCAGACCTTCATAATGGGAGGAGCGTTTCAGTTTAAAACATCTGCGGGCTAGAATTTCAGTCTAACAAAGAGTCGGATGGTTTGTTTGCGAGGGAACGGTTTTAGTGGCAAGCTGAGGTTCAAGTGCACGCTGGCGCTGACAAAACAGCCCGGACCCAGGTCTATCGGAGGGTCGCGTCCCTTGTAAAAGCATGTTTCTTTTCGCATATGGCAATTCAGATCCTGCAGATGCTCTGCAGCAAACTATGCAGTCATACAGAACATGTTTGAAAGGATGAATCAACTGCACTCATCAGGAATTCAAGCTGATCTCATCTTACACTCATCCTGGAGGTGTTTTTTTTGTTGTTGTATTAAGATGGGAGGAGTCAATGTTGTCACTGTGAGACATTTCTGTCTTTCACACTTGCATGCCTAATTCTTTCAAAAGAGGCACGTTCTCACTAAAGGGCACCAACAGCCAGGGGGAAATGTGTTGAAACTGTACAGAAAACAAAGACAGGGAGTGTGATAGGGAGAAACCGCCATCCATGCAAGCTGGCTCCTGTTCTTAATTATAGTAAAGCACTAAAGTGTCTCCTTCATTTTAGCCCAGTGGGGCAAAGAAGAAGAAGAAGAAAAAAAACAAAGGAATGTTTATTCAATTTTTACCTCAATTTATTCAAGTATGAGGCGCAAGGATCGAGGACACAGTTCTACATGCGAAAACAAGTACAAACACTTGCGGTCACACTCATGTGAACTGTACACACTCTCCTAAATGGAGAAAATTCTACTTCCCTCAGCTCAGTTCCAGCCCAGATGTTCTTGTGGTTGACGGGGTTGGGGGAGCTGGGGTGCACCACATTTTCAAAAACACACACCCATGTTAAATGTTGTCAGATAAATAGAGAAGAGAACAGAGGAGAAGAGAAGGGAAAAAAACAACACAAGCATTTTCCTCTAGTTGATTTATGTGATTCTATTACATTAAACATTCTTTCCCCTGAGCGAGCTCTGCTCCCTAGCAACCACTGCTTGCAGTCCTAATATCTCTGGCACAGAGCCAGGAAAAGCTGCCTGCCTTATTGATTGCCAGATTGAAAAGTTTGTATTTAATAGGTCCTGTAATACATGAAGGAATTATTCAGAGGGGCTCTCTGTCAAACACCCAAATTGGTTCTTTTGACTATCAAAAAACAACAGGGGGAAGGTAACAAATTAGCTTTCAGCAAACTCCAAAGAGCCTCTTTTGTGCAGGGAATGAAATTATTTGTCGCTTTGGCAGCTGAGAACTGTCACGATGAAGTTAACTTGAAGCTGTTTACCGCAGCGGTAAAGGCCACATTGTCGCTTAACGTGAGGACAAGTCTGTGCCATGTTGATCCCCTTTTTGTGCGTTGACGAATTGGCCCTAAACACAGCTCGGTGTCTGTTCCCTAGATGCATCCTGACTAATGAAAGGCTGCCGCTGGGTTTTGGGGGTCAATCCACTTATAGCACAGTCAATTCTAGGACTAAGAAGAAAAAAAAAAAAAAAAAAAAGCTGCTCTGCAAGAACCCAAAATGTGCAAATACCACAGGGAATGTTTTTAATCATCTGCCTTTGGTTGGAGGGATACAACTCCCTTTAGATTAAACAAACAAGTGAAATACCTCTCCGTGTCTCGTCCCTTCGCTCAAAATGAGCCTAAAAGCTGTTACACCGAGGTGATGATATTCTATGTGCTATGACGCCCACTGTCATTTGTCACGCAGCGCTGTCCAACACAAACTCGATTGAACAGCTGTGATCGGGTATCTCAGATGTTGTCAGTGACAGAGAGAAAGATGAATATATAGAGTTCCTTTGGCTCAGCCGGTAACAGACAGCACTTTCAACTTCAAATATCCTTCTCCTGCAGAGTGAAATGGATGACATGTTTGACTTTAAATGCATCTTTAATGGGACAAGTACCCATTTGAGGGAGTTCTGCTGGAAGGTTACAGCACAAGAGGGACAGGGAAAAAAAACATCTTATCTTGAGATTGGGAATTGGGTCAGCCTAGGAATTACATGCCATTCTAGATCAAAGTTTCTGTGTGTATTTCCTCAAAGAAGAGTCCCTCATTATCAACACAGGCTTATTTCTCAGGGCTAATGCTGTGTAATAAGAAACATGATTTAATATGTTTTCAGTAAAATAATAACAAAGAGAAAAAGAGCAGAATAGGGACAAAAGCATATGTCTGAAGGCTATTTAGAACAGGCTTCTTTCCCAATGGTAAATCTGTAATGAGAAAGGAAAAGAAGTGGAGGGTATACTGTCTTTTTTTTTTTTTTAGATCTAGGGGGTGGAGGGGGTGTTATTGTCATTTGGCAAGAGTCCATTGTGAATTCCTGTCATTATATAAAAACTTTTCTTTCTCTCAGTATCTCTCCATCTCTCCATTATCAGATCTGTATGGAGGAGGGAAGCTTTAAATAAACAGACTGTACAGCTAAACCAACTCTGAGCCTTTTCAATAACCACGTCTAGCACAATACTCAATTTACTTTGCATTTATTTAGCTGCAGGATTTGACAATGCAGCAAAAAAAGGGATGATATTAGCAGCAAATAATAACAACCAAAGCAGTGTGTTTCCAAAAGAAAGAAATGTTACACTGTGGCTTAGAGAGAGACTTTACAGATAGCAATATGTCATTAAAACCAGCGCCATCTGTTCAGATTACTTGTTTGTGTGGAGAAGACACAAAAAGCAAACCCCAGAAATGCAGTCTGTATGATTTCCCTCCTCCACACTTGTGCAATTAGTTGTGATTACACATTTTAACAGCACAGGGAAAAAAAACAACTAACAATTGCTTTCCCTCCATGTGCAGTGATGATCTCTGTTTGAAATCGCCAAGCTCAGCCCAGCACAAACAGCTCCCACAAGACTGCAGACTTTTTTGAGCATCATACTAAACTAGCAGGTAATTTCTGATAAACTGTCGACGGCTTGGCTGTAAACTCATTCATGTCAGATTACAGAACATGACCTCTGATGTGGCAAACCTCCATCCCTCGCTTTGCTAACAGAGCTGTAATCACTGTAATGCGGCACATACAGTGTTTGTACCTGCTTGTCTCACATTGCAGCACGAAGATAAGAACTTCAGTGGAAAATATCTACTTGCTGTGATAAAACGTTCATGCGCACGGTCCGTTCATGCCAAAATACTTCTTATTTCTCTCTGTGATAGTGCTTTGTGAGGAACATGATACAAAGAAACATCCAATGAGTCAAACATGACAGATACATTTTGTTTTTGTTGCTCCAATTTGTTCTCTCTAGCTTATCATTTTATCGATGCTGTAAAATGATAACGCTCTGAGCTCAGCTCATGAACAGAGTGGATTTGATACGAAATGAAAACATGCATCAATGAAACTGTTTGGAGAATATTTCTAAGAGCATGTCGGTAACATGGGTGTGTCATAAGTCACAACTTGTGCTCCATTTGTAATCAAAGCTGTTCATTCTCACACTAAATAATCCTGTTTAGCGAGATGATTCAAAAATAGTATCTACACTGGAACACGCTGTAGTGATTCTACATCTGGGTCATTGGTAACTTTAAATATTACATGCTGACATGCCCAATGAAACAATAGCTTATGCTGAGTTATGGCTGACAGGAAAATCGGGGGAAAACAAGACTGGCTGAATGCCTCCCATTTTGCCAAGTGCTCCTCGGGCCACCACATAACAAGGAAACAGACTGACAGGTTGAGGGAGAGTACAGAGGAGCATCAATGATCTATTGTTTGCAGCAAGGGCCCGAAGTCCCACTCCTCTGGCAGTCAATAGATCAAAGTAACCTAAATATATTACACCATATGTACCAGGACACTTTATAAATACA